GGGGACCAGGGTCAGGGCTCAGTGTGGGACTAGGATTAGGGCTCAGTGTGGGACCAGAATCAGGGCTCAGTGTGGGACCAGGACCAGGGCTCCGTGTGGGATTAGGATTAGGGCTCAGTGTGGGACTAGGATTAGGGCTCAGTGGGGGACCAGAATCAGGGCTCAGTGTGGGACTAGGATTAGGGCTCAGTGTGGGACCAGGACCAGCGCTCAGTGTGGGACCAGGACCAGGGCTCCGTGTGGGATTAGGATTAGGGCTCAGTGTGGGACTAGGGTCAGGGCTCAGTGTGGGACTAGGATTAGGGCTCAGTGGGGGACCAGGGTCAGGGCTCAGTGTGTGTCACAGTGTGATAGCATCAGTTTGCCCTCTTCTGATTGTATCACTCCCACTAACAGCCACCAGAGGACTGGGGTTTACCCCTCTCTGGTTGTCACTGCTGGTACTGCTCACTGGAAAAACTTATAACATGGTGACTTCTTTACTTCTCTCTGAGCGCTGTTGAACATTCCTTGTGTTTAAGGTCTAGTATTTCTTTTACTTCTGACCTTGCTACTCACGTCTGTCAGTCTGTACTGTGGTGACTGGAATGGTGCTGTGATGCCGCTGTTTGAAGTAACAGCAGAATCACCCACAGTGGGCAGGTTTCAGTGGAGTTTCAGAACAGATTAAAAAGAAGGACTAGGAGGTCCACTTCTGAGGGATTAGCCCCTGAAACCCTTGTCTGGTACAGTGCCTGAAGCTAAGTCCTTCGGTTGGAAGGCCCTCAGAATACAACTGAGGAAGACCTACCTCCTCAAACTAGTCAACTGGAATGACGAGGAAGAAACACAGCATTCAGAACCTTCATTTGCTGTTTCAGCTTGACTCAAAATGAGAAGAAACAGCTGCAAACATCCATTAATAATTGGAATGTAGAATGTACAAAGTTTAAAACTAGGAAAATTGGAAATGATCAGAACTGAACATTGATCTCCTAGGCACTAGTGAGCTGAAATGAACTGTTATTGGCCGTTTTAAGTTGGACAATCATCAATCATTGCCGGGGACCTGCCTCGACATAGGGGTTTGGTTCACGAGGAGGAGATACCTGACGGTGATAAATATATAGCAAGAATACACAGAAAGAGACAAAGAGAGAGACAATGAGGCACCCCAAAGCCAGGGTGGATACATCACTGGTGGGCAGGCTTGGGACTACAGGCATCGTGGCCTCTGCAGGCAG